CCTTGGTAATCATGCAAAAGCTACTAGAATAAAAAGAAAAATAACATAATCAGCTACGATATGGTCATTTCAGCAAATGAACCATGAAAAGGTGAAAACTGAAATGTCATCAAAACCAGTTGTTGATTTGTCCTGAAAACAAAGATTGTATGTGACATTTGGTGACAAATATTTCAACGATGGATGAAAAAGTTCTAGGAAAAACTTCTTAAAACAGAATTGTACCAGAAAATAGTCAAAATCACTGTTTTGCTATTTACTGCAAGCTATACCAGAATATGGTATTTTGAACCGCCAAAAGTATTTGCACCTGAAAATTACCGGGATAGGATGAAATGCATTGAAATTGCAAAACCTGATCACATGCCTGACCGTATCCATCACATATCAGACATCCAGTATTTTGAAAATTGAACAAACTGAATTATACTTCTATTTAATCGATCTAATCCATTTGACCTGTCACTTAGAATATTTGGACAATTTTTTTTTTTGCAAATTAATTCACACAAATACAAACCCATTTAACCTGTCACCCTAATATTTTTCATAACTTTTTTGCAAACAAATTTATTTCCCATTAACAAAAAGATGATAATTGTCATAGCTCCATCTTCACTACTAAAAATTTCTTCCGGACTAATTATAATAATTTATAATTCATCGTTGATAGTTCATTTGCTTTTGCACCAATTCAAAATTTACTTTAAACAATTTAGATTGCAAGAACTAATTTAAAAAGTTTGCATGTATAACTTGACTTATTTTGAACTTATCCTTACTTTTTCAAATAATTATCATAGTGATATTTTCAAATGGTTTTAATTTAATTTCATGTTCGAAATGATATTTCATGCTGTTAATAAATAAACATTTACTTTTACGTTCAGATCGCTTAAATTTAGGATCTAAAATAATGGAATTCATATTTGAAATTATATAATGATCAAATATTAACTGATGAAGACAAAATCAGATCAGGAGGGATTAGGAGATCAATTTAGAAAAATTAATTGATGGTGAAAAATCAGTTTGTACCATTTAAATCAAGAAATTAATGTCTTTAATGAAATAGAATGGAAATGGAAATTCGAATTGGAACAGTTCTGTTCTCAATGTGGTTATTACTGAGTTGGATTGCGTTTTCTCGGAAAATGCTAATTTTTCGATTTATTTAGTTAATGGTTACCGATTCTTTCTTAAATAAAAAAAAGAAACTCTTCGTAATTAACTTTATTTTCCCGGAATTATCAACGTATTCAATCGTTGTTTTTATCGACACTTCAAACTTTTCCAGATGTTTCAAAAGGCATTTTTCTAATAAACACCAGTGACCAAGATCAAAGACCAAAGGGGGATCAAGGACCAGAGATCACTTTAAAACAGGAATAGTTCTGATTATCTTAATTACTTCCGCAATAAATCATTGGATTTCCTAAAATAAAGGTTAAACATGAACACAGTATATTATGCTATCGAAACTATCAGATAGAATAAATCTTCCTAAAATACATTTATTAGCCTTTCTGTTCCTCTATAAGATGCATGAATAAAAGCTGTCATATTGACAGTTAAGCTGTCACTAATACATGCAAAACTTTTCACGTTAAAAAAGAGACGTAAAAAAATTCATAAAAACGTGGAAATTTAGTCAAATGATTAATTAGTCCTCTGTTTCTTACATGGAAAAAGTAAAGTCATTTGCTATGATTTTTTCCATATGTTTCGATATAATTTTTATTGGTAAGCAAATAGCGCATATTACTAAATTGAGATAATCTTGCTCTTTCGCCCTTCCTTACATCTAATAACATTTGCGCCTGCTACAAAGAAACCTGCTACAAAAAAATTCACCTTACATCTCATCTAATGACATTTGCGCCTGCTACAAATAAATTCACCTTACATCTCATCCAATGACATTTGCGCCTGCTGCAAAGAAATTCACCTTACATCTCATCTCATGACATTTGCGCCTGCTACAAAAAAAAAAGCCCTTCTCAGCAGAAAGAGTGTAGCAGAAGAGGAGTGCGAGATAGTTAGAGCATTGAGCAAAATAGATGAAATAAGAAAGAGATGTAGCGGAATGCAAGTCAAAATTGTTTCACATACCTAAGATGCTACCTTTCAAGATTTTTATTTATTTCTTGAATCTCTTCATTCTTTCTTATCATACAAAACATTCTTTAATCTTACCTATTTCTATTTAACCTTCCCCTTATCTCTTCGTTATCACTTATTCACTTATTTTATCATCTACGTTATTTTACTCTACCGATTAATTGTAAATTATGGTAAACGTGGGAAATTTTATTTTAAATTTTTCCTGTGAAACCGTGCATTTCAAATCCCAATACTATCACTATCGTTATAATCAGTTACCAATGATCGCGTTTTTTTTTACAATGCGATCTTGTTTTCGTAACAATGATAATAAAAATCTGCAAATTATTTATTTCAAAAGCATTTACAACAAAGGATCATATCGTTATCATTTAAGCATTATTGGTAACTTCTTGTTTGTTGCCATTGTTTATCTAAATATGCCTGATAAAATATCACTTTTTTATATCAATAAATAGGCTATGCTAGAAAGAAATCACCGTGTTAGCAATTTAGTGAGGTGGGAATTTCTACCAGTGCGATCATGCCGAATTATACCTTAACATATAATTTATTTTACGTATTTTTTGTAACAGACAATTTCAGAGTTTCTTTCTGAGGACGTTAAATCTGAGACAAATTGCACAATTGTGAGAAGCTAGAATAGATTGCAAAAAGTAGTCAATCCAGTAACATTCATGCAAGATTCGATATCTGATGTGAGTATGGCATCACGACGACGTTCACGTAGATTGGCATCACAAGAACCGGAGCCTTTCAGTGCATGTTCATCAACTGATGTATTGGAAGTTGGCGATGATGAACAGGGTATATATGTTTTTTTAATCAGTCTAAATTAATTTTAGTATTAGAAAAATTATGAGCCGAAATAATTGGTTTCAGTACTTACTATAATAAAATCAAATGATGCAGGCAAACGAACAGAGGAAATGAAGATGGAGACTTCACAGAAAGTTGGTTTTCCTGTCTTTTTTTTGTTAAAGATATTGTTAAAGAAAAGGCTGTGATGCATTTTTTTCTAATGAATAGTTGTTAATTATCGCTGTTGCTATTTGATTTATGATATCAAGATTTGACATTAAATTTGAAATTCGGTCTTTAGGCTGCTATGATATTTTCACTCCTTTTTTTATTTGCTGGTTTGACTCTTTTAAATATCACCCAGCGCATTAGAATTTTACTTAGTTTGTCGAATGAATATGTTTACAAAGAAATAGATTATTCTAGAGATGTTAAACAGTACCAAGTGAATTTAATTTTATTTTAGCTCTTGGGGTATGTGTAATAGTCATTCCCTAATGTTGTCATTGTAACATTTTTTAGCAGGGACAGAAAGACTCAAGTTCTCAAAGTTCGCCAGTTGCTTTACGAACGCGATCACGATCGCGTTGCTCCAGTATGGAATCAAATGATGCGGGTATTATATTTTATCATCCTCTGTAGTTTCATGACACTACGACCTACGTTAATTTTCGTGTAATATCAATAATATCCATGTATATTTTGTATCATCTTTGAGTTTTTTATTTTCAGGCATTATTGGGGATATCCAGAAAGCAGTCAGTATTATATTAACTCCAAAGAAGGTTAGGATTGGCTTCATTCAAATTTCCTAAATTTTTTTGTCAACTATTGCGTTTACTTTTTTAATCATTTTCAGAATTCAACGACTCCAGTGAAATCGTGCCGAAAAAGGACTTCACTGATGCCCCAATTAGAAGAGATCGTTGAAGAGCAACCAAAATGCAGAGACGAAGATAGTAATGAAGAGAGATTAATGGAAAGGAAAACAGAAACGAAAAAAGTGCTGAAAAAGAAAGAAAAGCTATCGGAAGATGAGAGAGCGCGTGTCGAAGTGGGTAAGGAAAGCTCTGCAAAGAGATCTAATAAGAAGGGTATTTTCGCACAAGATGTGGCTGTTGAAAAAGAGTCGGTAAAAACGCAGGGAGGAATTATAGAAAACTCATGGAGTAAGTCAAAGGGAAGCCCAAATGAATCATGTGTAAAAGGTTCGGAGAAATCATTGACAAGGAATACAAGAAAATCGCGTACAGACAATTCAGATCATTTTCTGCAAGACGGTATGAAGATTTCCCCTGCAAAAAATTCAGAAACTTCATTGGCAAGGATTCGGAGAAAATCATCGGTAATGATTTCAAAAGAATCCTCGGCGGAAAAGAATCCAGAAGAAATGCTGACGAACAATTCATCAAATACTACTGATTATTTGGAACAGGAAGCTAAAGTCGTCACTGAGACGAATTTAGACGAGGGCAGTTTGAATATATGGCCAAAATTGGATGACCTATTATCGTTGTGGTTGAGGTAACTATTTTTTTTCTCATAATGCGACCAGAGTTTCAAATTCTTGGTCTCACTCGATGTTTTTTCCTTTTTCAATTAAAAATGATTCTAGGCGTAGTGAACAAAATATACTGGTCGATAATATTAAGAAGGCTTACGCGTTTGTGAACGAAGTAGACACAGCAGTGCTGACGATATCGCAGGAACTGATTACAACTAATAGCGAGATGATTTGGCAGCAAATAGCCTATGGCAACAAAAAATTCCATCGATATTTTGCAAAAACTAAGGTTTTCCACTTTTCTTTTTTTGGATTTACTATAAAACTTTAATTTTATTGCAATAATTTCTCGAAAATTTTTACTTTTTTAGCATTTCTTGGATGTTGAGATACCTACAAATAAGGAACCTGCAGAGGAACAAGACGATGCACTTTCTCCAGCTACTATACCGAAATTTCAAGACGAAAGTTCTGATGGCAGTGAAGAAGACAGCACTGACCTCTTTAACCTTACAGAAGATGAAGTTAAGGTGCGTTTATTTGTTAAGAAAGAAGGGATGGTAATTTTAGGTTGTTGTTCCTTGTGAATCTCATAAACTTGGTTTTTAATGAAGCACATGCTTATGTAACTGAATTTTCAGAGACTTGGTAAGGATCTCGATGGTAGTAAAATTAGTAAACATGATGATGACAACTACAATAATGTGTCAAATAGCGAAGATGATGGCGTTTCTAAAGTTTCTGACAGGGTGACCAAAAAGCGTTGGAAGAGTGCAATTGATGATCATTTCTTCTCATTGGCGGAGATGGAAGAGTATTTGGATAAACAAGAAAAAGGCCAGGCTCATCGAGATGAAAATTTTTTCGAACAGTTCGATGAGGTCCATTCTTTCAACTACTATTAGTGTGGTTATACAAATAGTACTTTAAAACAAATGGTTCTGTTGGAAAACTTCAAAAGTCGGTCCTTATGTATTATAATTAATTAGTTTCCACTATTTTTTGGAAATTGTCTCCTAAGCATCTGAAAAGTTCTACTTCTAGAATTTGCACTGGATCACATACTGTATAACTTTTCAGGATGGTGATGATTTACAAAATTCACAGACTGATTATCATTATACCGATTTTTATGAGAGCACGAATGGTGTTGCAGAAGCGAATGGCACGAAAGCTCTTTCGACGAAGTTGAAAAAATCGAAAACGGTTTGCTTCTGATTCTTAATTGGAAATACTTTTGCTGAATACATTTGTAAGTTGGGAAATTAATTTCAAATCTATTTCATTCTCAAATCTCTATGCGAAAATATTGTAGGTTTCTGGTAAAGTGGACAATCATGCGGAGAAAAAAGTTACATTTGCTGATGAGATCACTGATGACGTGGATTATAAGAGTGACGATGATGATAGTGGTGGAGATGGACAAGGTTCCTTAATTCATTCAACTCATGTTTATTTTCATCTTGTTCATCTGTTCTACCCTATCAATTTGTAACCATGTTTAATGTTTTAGAAACAACGGTCCTTCTTGGTCAGGTGGACGAAGAAGAGGATAATGAAACTGAATTTCAGCATCAACAGAAGAAAGTAAGGTCAAAGTCTGTTGATAAGATGAAGTCTAGGTTATACTTTATTTGCATTTAAAAAATTCATATTCATTGTTTTCAGCTCCAAGAACGAATCGCTTCAATAGAGCAAGCCAATTTAGCTCCAAGGAGTTGGGATTTGAGTGGTGAAGTGACAGCTATCGAAAGGGGAGAAAACACGATGTTGGAAAAACATCTCGATTTCGATCAATCTGCACCACGCGGTTTATATTAGCTATCATTAAACATGATTTTGAATAATTTTGCTTCATTTTTAATCATAAGATTCATTCTTACAAGTCCCATATCGATGTGTTGTTAGCTGCAATCCTGTAATTTTCACTGCATGGAAAACCAATACTTTCAGCGCCAGTTATTACGGTTGATACAACTGCTCAGCTAGAAGCGAAGATAGTCCAACGAATCAAGGATAGAGTAAGTGATGATTTTTCAAATTTGATTAAATTTGATTATGATTATGAAAATTTGATTATTTGAAAAAAAATTTGATTATTTGAAAAATTTGAAAAAAAAACAAATTTGATTATGAAAATTTTGGTCAAACTCGGTACTGTTACCTGAATTTCAACTTATATATATTTATTCAATCGAAAAGAATAGTATCGTGCCAAATATTTCTAGTATTTATTAGCTTTGCTAAATAACGAGATTTTAGTATTTCTTTATATTCGTCAAACCTTGACAAAAATTATACGGGAATTTAGGTGTTTGATGATGTGTTGAGGACAGAACGTAAACCGGGAGCAAATTCAGCGTATCGGGCACCAGTTGCTGAATCAGAACTTGTGAAAAAGTCTCTTGCGGAAGTTTACGAAGAGCAGTACCAGAAAACCCAATATGGAGTATGGAATTTCAATTTTTGACAAGTTTTAATGTATTGTTTAAAATTTACATTTTATTGGCGGTTTATCTTTTAAGGTGAAAATATACAAGCTCTAACTATTGCAGGTAGGGAATGAGGAAAAGACGAATGAAAAACACGAAGAAATCAAAAAGCTGATGTCAGACTTATTCCAGAAATTAAATGCTCTGAGCCATTATCGTTATATTCCATCTGAAGTAAGTATGTTGTCGCAGAGTCAATTTTTTTCTAGTATGTTTATAAGTTCTTTATTCAGTGTTGAATTCGAAGAACAAAATTAAATTGCATCGCTTCACTTTTTCTATTAATTTCATCACTTCCGTTTATATCTAATTCGTTGAATAATTTCATTGAATCACATCTGGAAGTTGGATTTTACGTTATTCCATTACCGCATCTTTTTTTTCAGGTCCGCCCGGAAGTGCGCATCATAAGTAACATGCCTTCCCTTCAGAAGGAGGAAGTAGGACCTTTAGCATCTACCGACGCTGTACTTTTAGCTCCGGAAGAAATTCACAAGCATGTTAGTGGTCCGATCAAAGGGGACGATGAGAAAACAAAAACAGATCGGTCTCGCTTGCATCGCAAAAAAAAGGTTGATTAACTTTTGTCCTATGAACTTAATTGTTAATGGAATTTGAATTCTTTATAATGAATATAATTCTTCAAGCCTTGTGTGCCATTGATGGCATTTAGTCTATTCCGTTATTCTCTAAAGATGAAGGGTTGCAAAAACGCACCCTTTGTCTGTTGAACTAAGATTAGTATAGAAAGACAGAAGTTAAAAGTTGATAAATAATGTTGAAACAACTTCGGAGAATATAGAAACTATAGAAAAAATAATTTTAGGAGATTTACAAGTGCCAGTCTCTCGTTGATTCTAGCTCTTTTTTTTTTTTGCAATGATCGCTAATAATTTTTGCAGCAAATCATCTTTTACAGCGGACTGCACTATAGTTTCCACTAGATGTTAATTTTCTTAAGTTTCAGAAGTGGCAACACATCAGACAGTTTAAAATACAAGAAGCGGAGCTTACGAGCACGAAAAATGAAGTACCTGCTAAAAAATCGAAATTAACATCGCAGTACGATAGCAAAAAGGGTAATATGAAGTTGACATCAACTTCGTTTTTCCAACACCTGCAAACCAAAGCTACAGAGGAGGTAAGAGTTACTTTACAATATTTGGTTTTATGTTAAAAAAAAGAAAAAGTTGACAAAGCATTTTTCAAAACCGTATTTTGCCCTCTGACCATTTCAGTGGCAATATTTTGGATGAAGCAAGGTCTATAACTCAATTTTTTTAATTACACATTTTCATTAACAATCCATATCCCAATAAATTGATGATAACCTTCATTTACTGGCTGAACTAATTCATTCTTTTCAGGTTAAAGGTAAGAAGAACAAGGTCACGGAAATGGGTACAACAAAGAAAAAATTAAGTACAAATTACAAACTCTGACAGAGGATGTTTTGCATGTTATCTACTTTTTTCAGTTTGTAAAATCAATAAATTTTGTCATCCAAATATGTTGTCCATAAACTAACACTCAAATTATATCTATATTTTTCATTGAGTAACAATTAGCATAAAAAGCATAAAATTAGGAAAGCGGTGTTATTAATAAAAAGTGACCACGTTATGGTTATATTTTTTCCTGGATTTTACTACTGTCTAACATTATCACGAGTTGATTTATATACTGCAATCATTTAATTGTAATTGTGGTGGTAAGCTATTTCCGCATATGATAGAAGAATGATGATGGGATAACTTTTGGTTTTCGTTCGTATTTCAAGAAACAGGACGAAATTTTTGTTGTATCTGAATATTCCCTACGAAGATATTTACATCGTATAGTTGGTAACATTCGTTGATAGGCTAACTAAACCTTATCCACAGTTGGTGGGGACATTGTAACTTGAATTCCATAAATATCACTTGATCATACTTTAACCTTTATTCATTTAATCATCACTATAAAATTTGATTGTATGAGGGATTATTTTGGACTATAGTTTGGACGATTGTTAGGTTAATTGTCGGCATATTTTTTTTCTTTTGTTTTTTTTTTTCATATTTCAACTTACAAAACTCCACGAAATGTATCATTAGCAGTAATCGGAAATGAATGTGAAATGAAAAACTAATCTGCGAATATTAAGTTGTAATGGAATTCATCGGCATACTTTAGATTTATTCTAATTAATACTTATAATATGAACACACAAAGGCGTTTGAAATTTTAATTTTGATTCATATTTGCTACTTTTTTGGATAATTTCAATTGAAACATAATAAATGAATTTCATTTCACATCATAAAATAACAAGAAAAAGATAGGAAATAATTACGATTATTATCAAATTGATAACAATGAATATAGTTGAAATATTTAGAAATGAAAAATCTGATTTATATGATGAAGAAATGCTAATTGAAACAGTTACATGGTGGAAAAGTAACATTTCTATGATTGTAAGGAGTAATCATACAATTGGTTACATGATAAACTAATTTCATTTCACGTAATAAAATATCAGGAAAGAGATAAGTGATAAAGATATCTGTCTTAAAGTTATCCATCATGAAGATATCTATTTTAAAGGTAATTAAAATTTATAGGAAATTTTATTAAATAGTTTGCGGAATTTTTTTTACTTTACTTCAATGATATAATGAATGCTCAATTATATCAATTGATAAGTTATCAATTAGCTTTAATGGGTGACATGTATTTTTCCATATCAAATCGTTCATTAATTGAAATTAACATTTATCATTCATAAATTCAAACTCCTGTATTACTCTCTATAAGATTAGCTACTTCATCTGAAACTATCACAACAAAGTGATAATGATTCCGTAAAGGTTTACAGTGATAATGATTCCGTAAAGGTCTTTACAGTGATAATGATTCTGTAAAGGTTTACAGTGATAATGATTCTGTAAAGGTTTACAATGATAATGATTCTGTAAAGGTTTACAGTGATAATGATTCTGTAAAGATTTATTTTTATCATTGATAATTTTGCTTTTAATAAATATCACAAAATATTATCTTAAATATTTGTTAAACAAAAATTTACGAAAATTTATCTGAAATCATTTAAATACATATAATTGTGTATATTTTAATATTTTTATCAAGTTAATATTTTACATCTATCTTGCATTTGCATTATTAATCGCTAATAAATCTTATCATATCTTCTCAATCATTTCTGATAATGCTAACTGTCACATTTTGCTAATTGCTAATTTATTGTCATGATTTGCTAATTTGCTAATTGCTGTCATAAATTTTATTCTTGCATATATTTCATCGTCATTTTCACTTCCATTCAAAAATTTTCAAATTTAATAATTTTACACTCTTTCATTCCATTATATTGTTTCAGCTATCATTTCTTCGAGATAACATTTTAGCAAATTATCGTATCCGATAAAGATAATACTGTAATGAATCTCATCCACCGTCAAGAGTTAAAATATTGTTTTAAAAAATAAAAATAATAATAATTACATGTATGTATTTTTTATTTGTTAGTAGCATATTTAGCTAAAATCCTTATTAAGTCTACTTAATTAATGATGCAATTAATTAAGCTATCGCTTTATCTTCATTGTTACCGACGATTAGACGATAACTTGTAATATATATATATATATATATATTAGGTAACTATTATTAATACTTTCTAAATTTCTTGCAAATTGTAAAACATCAATTTGAATTCTTGATTTTCCTTAATTTACCAGTCAAAATTATCATTTCAAAACTATCTTTTTTTTTAAATTAATTTTTAAAGTTAATAAAAATTAGTTAATTCCACTCTTCATTTCATTCGCTTAAAATTCAAATTTTGTAATTTATACTCCTTTAAATGCCATTGTTGAAATTGAGCTTAGTTTTATTTTTGAAATTAAAAATAGTATTTTATTAAAATCTAAATTTAATAAAACTTAAAATTTGTCCGAATTTACAAGCGCTCTTCCATATATTACCTACAGTATATCATAGATTAGATTACTGATAGTGATTTTCTGATAAAAAAGTTGATGTTAAAAAGGTGGAAAAAAAATATGTAAATCTATCAAGAAAAAAAAAAAATTACTGATTGCTTAAACTTTTTGTACTTTTCATCTTCTTTGCTAAATGATAGTTTGAAATTTTGAAAATATATTTGAAATTCAAAATTAATATGGGATAAATTTAAATCAAATTTAGATAAATTTAAATTTAAATGAGATGGTCGCTAATAACCAAACGATAAAACTTTTAATTAACCAAATTAGTTATTCAGTTTCTTAATACAAGAATACAAAAAGTATTATTTGAAACTTCACTGGAAGTGTTTTTACTCCGATAGAAGTCTTTTTTTCTTATCACAAAATAAACTTATCAGAAAAGCTTATCGATGATTTGAAATCATTACGCCATACCGAATTATGTCAAATGATCTGATGCAAGTGTTACAGTTATTACAGCTTAATAAATCCTCAGTAGTAATACCGGAAACTCAAATGATTCGAATTTATATACAACTTTTGTTATTCGTTCTTTTTCGTTGTCTGTAAACCGGAATAAATTCCAAATTTCAGGATTAATCTTTTTCAGACTTATCAGCTAGAATGCTAATGGTAAAATTTAGCATTCAATCGAATTTAAACCACAAATGAAATTGATGAATTGTTTCAGATTTTACTAAATTAAAATAAAAATTAAATTAATGATCATTTACTTTTATACTGCCACTCCAATTTCACCTTTTTGGAATAATGTATTTCCGGAAAAAGTTTTCTGGCAATTTTTTTGATTTAAAAAAAAAAAATTTGCATGAAAAATCATTCGTAAAAATAAAATCTTTATGAAATGGAAGAAATTTTTTTCAATTAAATGCTAAAAATACTTTTTATTTTTTAATTTAAATTCTAAAATACTTTATGCATTTTTTTCCAATTTAAATCCCAAAAATATTCTTTATTTTTTCAATTTAAACCATAAAATATTTTTTTCCAATTTAAATTCTAAACTTGAAGTGGCTTTTTTTTTATGTAAATACTCAAAAAAAAAAAAAAAGAAATTGTTTTTTGAAGTATCCACAAATAGGAAGCTGTCATTTCTTCTTCCAAATTATTGCAAAATTTCCACTTAACACTATCTCATATTTTTCAATTTAATGAAAATCTTTATAAATCCTTGATGTAATTTAAATTAAAATTTTACTTAATTAAAATACGAATTTTTCGAATAATTTCAATTATTAGCAATTATTAATTATTAATAATTAACAATTATCAATGATATGATTTTTACACTTGAAATATCAATAATATGACTTCCATTTGAAATTAAAATATAATTTTTCGAGTAATTCCAATTATCAATAATTATCAATTATCAATTACATATAATTTCTATTTGAAATCAAATTGATAATTTTCAGTTTAAATTTTTAATTAAAATTTTCTTCAATTGTCTTCATCATTTTTCATAATAATGGTTAAGGTTTGTGGTAAAATTCGAAAATTGCTTTTGCAAAATTTGAATTTTGTTTAATTTTGTTGATTCATCGTTTTCAGGAATTGGGTGGAGTTGCAAAGACAAAATGACCCTCATCAATAAATATAATAACCATGAGAGGAGACAAATGATTGGATGAATCAATTTTGTCACCACCCTAAAAGCTAAAACTCGAGAATTCCTCCTTGAAATTATCGTCACAACAATTTAGCATCACTAACTACACAACATTTCCCCTTATTCATCAGTTCAGTAGTAATTCTTTTATCAATCTACTGATAATTTTACATTATATCAATTTTTTTTTCAATCAAATAATCAATGATATAAATAGATAGTATCAAAAGATAACACTAAGCATTGTGTAATTTAAATTGTTCAAATATTTCTAGCAAAATAACTTCTTTAACTTCAACAATTTTTAAACTTTGATTAATTAAATTTTAAATTAATTAGTGTGTTGGTTAAATTAGTTGATAAAATTTTCTGTCATTTTTTACAATTTAATTAATTAAATTTTAAATTAATTAGTGCATTGGTTAAATTAGTTGATAAAATTTCCTACAAAAGATGGTGACAAAATTGGTGACAATACACATTATCAGCATTTATCAGTATTATGCTATCTTTTCTATACAATAATAATATTGCAAAAAATTTTCACTAATCTTTTATCACTAAATAAAATCAAATATTTGGTTGAAATTTTAATTTCATTGAAATTTAAATTTCTATGAGAGATATAAAAATTAAAATTGAAATTTTCCCTTATATCATATTCTATTATCATTTTTAACACTATATAACCTGAACCTTTATTTTCACTAATTAATTTTAAAATCTTCATCT